ACATCCCCGCTCCGTCGCCGCACATGTCAGCCGCCATTTTCTGAAAAATTTCGATTCGCAGCGTCCGAATTAGGCTATTTTTCGGATTCGGCACGAATCAAAATTTTTCCGATATTCGACTCGAATTCCACTTCGGATACTTCGATTCGCTCATCTCTAATGACTTTGATAGTGATTGGACATGAGGTTGGAAGGAGAGGTTTGAGTCCAGGGTGACACGTAGGACTTTGTCGTGTGGGGGGGATTGATGGTGGCGTTGCTAGTCGTGATGGAGAGGATGGGGGGGCGCGGGCTGATGGGAAGACTAGAAGCTCGGTTTTGGACAGGTTTAATTTGAGGTAATGGAGCGACATCCAGTTTGATATGTCGTTCAGGAGGTGGGCGATGCGGGCGGAGAGTGAGGGGTGGAGAGGTAAATTTGTGTGCCGTCGGAATAAAGGTGATAGTTGAAGCCATGAGAGTAGCCAAGGGAGGTGATGTAGATGGAGAAGAGGAGGGGTCCGAGGACAGAGCCTTGGGGGACACCAACAGAGAGGGGGAGAGAGGAGGAGGAGGAGGAGGAGGTGGCAGCGTTATAGGTAACGCTGAAGGAGCGCTGGGATAGGTAGGAGGAGAACCAGGAGAGAGCAGCGTCCCTGATGCCGAAGGAGTGCAGTTTAGTAAGGAGGAGGGGTGTGGTCGACCGTGTCGAAGGCCGCGGAGAGGTCCAGGAGCAGGAGGATAGAGTAGTGGCCATTAGCTTTGGCGGTTAGCAGGTCGTTAGTGATTTTAAGTAGGGCGGTTTTGGTGGAGTGTAGGGGACGGAAGCCAGACTGTAGTGGATCAAGGAGGTTGTTATCAGTGAGGTCGGTGCTTAGGTGATTGTAGGCAAGGCGCTCAAGGAGCTTGGAAGTGAATGGCAGCAGGGAGATGGGTCTAAGGTTGTTTAGGTCCGTGGGGACAAGGGAGGGTTTTTTGAGTATGGGGGTGATGTGTGCGTGCTTTAAGGTGGAGGGGAATGTGCTAGTAGAGAGGGAGAGATTGAAGATGTGGGTGAGGGAGCGAGTGATGGAGCAGGGGGGGTGACTGGAGGAGTTGTGAGGGGATAGGGTCCAGGGGGCAAGTGGTGAGTCGGGCTTCAGTGAAGACCTTGGAGACCTCCTCAGTGGTAGCAGGGCTGAAGGAGCGGAGTGTTGGGGAGGTTGTTGTGTGCGGGGCGTTAGGTATGGTGGGGGGCAGTGCAGTTGCAAGGTCAGAGGAGGGGAGAGTTGAGGGGGTGATGGAGGGAGGCTAGGTGGAGGGGTAGAGTGTGAATTGACAATGTCCTTACGGATTGCGTCAGTCTTGTTTTGGAAATGAGTGGCAATCCCGTGGGCGTTGAGTGAGGTAATGAGTGGAGGTGTGGGGGGAGAGAGCAGGGATTTGAAAGTGGAGAAGAGCTGGTGAGAACAGGTGGAGAGGGTGTTGATGAGGGTTACAAAATAGGGTTGCTTGGCAGCGTGGAGGGAGGTGGTGTACGTGAGGAAGGCGGATTTGTAGAGGGGGAACGCATGAGGGGATCTGGTTTTGCGCCATAATCGCTCCAGCGCGCGGCTACATCATTTGAGACAATTTGTGTGGTCATTCTGCCAGGGTTGAAGCGGTTGGGGTCTGATGTTACGCGTGGTTGGGGGTGCCAGGGAGTGCGTCTAGGGCAGCTGAGAGTGAGTCGTTGGTGAGTTCTGCAGGGGAGGTGGAGTCGGTGGGTTGGATCCAGGTTTCAGTGACCGCTAGGAGGTTGAGGGAGTGGGACACAAAGAGGTCATGGATGGCGGTGAGCTTGTTGCAAACCGAACGGGCGCTCAGGAGTGCAACCGAGAGAGGGTGGTGGAAGCGGGGAGGAGGGGGACGGGTATGATGTTGAGGGGGTTGCAGCGGCTGGCGGGAGCAGGAGGGTGCCTGGAGTGGGGAGGTGGGGGGCCAGGGTTCAGGGAGATGTTGCCGGCGGTTAGGAGAAAGAGAAGGGTGAGGAAGGTGGCATGGGAACGGGATGTGCAGGAGCCTGTGGATCCGCTAGTGGTGGTGTGTGGGTCGGAGGGAGAGTATTAGGAGGAGGTGGTGGGAGCCGTAGTGGGGAGAAGGAAGAAGTGAAGGAGCAATGTAGAGCTGGTTTGGCGGAGTAGGGGGGTAGAGGGAGGCGATTTTGGGAATGGAGGAGAGGAATACAAGGAGGAGGAGTACAGGTGGCATGCTAGGGTGAGTGGAGTGCTGGTCAGATCGGGCAGGTGAGAGGTTTCACATCAGGGCGTGATGAAGTGGAGAGTCTGTCACGTCGTGGCGGAGTTCATCAGTGTCCATTTGTGGGAGGAGAGTGAGAGTGGTGGGCGGCTGGATCAGCAGCTGGCTGTAGGTGCTGTAGGCCGGCGTCCCTGGGTGCTGTGGCACGGCGTCAGTGGGTACAGTGGCTCGGCGACTGGACGAGCTGCAGGGCGCAGTGTCTGGGGGTGTTGTAGGGCACGACGCCTGGGGATGCTGACGACTCGGTGTTGGGAGGTGCTGAGGGCCCGGCGTCGGAAGGTGCTGAGGACCTGGCGTCGGGAGGCGCTGAGGGCCCGGCGTCAGGGGGCGCTGAGGGCCCAGCGTCAGGGGGGGGGCGCTGAAGGCCCGGCATCAGGAGGTGCTGAGGGCCCGGCGTCAGGAGGTGCTGAGGGCCCGGCGTCAGGAGGTGCTGAGGGCCCGGCGTCAGGGGGTGCTAAAGGCCCGGCATCAGGAGGTGGTGTGTAGGCCGAAGTCTGGAGGTGGAGTGGACTAGGTGTTGGTAGGCGCAGTAGGGCTCGGCGTCAGGGGTGTTGTGGGCCAGTGCGTGTGAATGCTGCGGGCCAGCGAATGAGGGTGCTATGGGGCCCAGAGTCTGTGGGAGTGGTAGGGTCCAGCGATCGTAGGAGTTGTATGGGGGTGCTGGAGGTCGCGTGGCAAGCTCGCCTCCGCCAGATTGGACGGGCCCGGGGGCTGAGTGGTGGCAGGGGCACGGCTGTGTGGTATACGCGGTTGGAAGCAGATGTGGTAGCGGTGGCTTACCCTCCCGCTGCCGGTGGCGGCTTACCCTCTCGGTGTCGGTGGGGGTGGTTGCTGCTTCACTTCGCTCTGCGGCGGCTGCAGGTAGGGGAGGCGGTGGTGGTAGCTCCCCTCTCGCTGGCACGGACGGCGGTGTCCTGGTTCAGGCGTTGGGTAGTAGCGAGGCTTAGAAGGCAGCGGTAGGCCGCAGGGTCCTTGGAGCCTTTTGTGTCGTTGGTTTGCTGTCTGTCTGGGGTGGTCTCAGGATCGTCTGCCTGCAGTGGTATCAGGAGCGTTGCTTGGCTGCTGTCTGCTTGCGGTGGTCCCTGGGGTGTTGTTAGGCTGCTGCCTGCCTGCTGTGGCCCCTGGAGCTAGTGGAGAGGGCCAGGGGCCGCCAGGGTAGGACCACCTCACAGTGTGTCAGAGGGCAGGGGTCGAGGGACGGAGCAGCAGCGTCACGATCCGGCGGCAGCGTCGCGTTTCGGCCTGCGATCTACGCGAGGCCGCAGTAGGCCACGATTCCGGAGGGGGCCCAGATTGGTCGGTACCCCTCCTAATGGGTTCAGTGGGGGCCGGGGGTGCTCCGGGGCCCCTGTAGTGTCCGCTGCTGCCTGGATGGCAGCAGATTAGGCGGTGGGGCGACGGAGCTCCGGGATGATGATGTGTTGCTCCATCGCCATCTTGGACCCAATGATATTTTATGAACAAAAGAAAGGCGTGGTGATGGGCGCAAAGTTCGTGCCCAGTTTAGCAAACATTTTTTAAAGTAAATGGGAGGAGAAGGTGATTTTTAACAATGAGTGGGTGGGCCTTACCCTGTGGAAAAGATATATTGATGACATTTTGGTCATTTGGGAAGGCTCATTAGAAAAACCTGAAGGCTTTTTTAGATGTCATTGAAAAAAATGAACACGGCTTAGGTTTTACTATCAATATGGATAGGACATCAGTGAATTTTTTAGATTTGAGCATTTTTAAAGAAAATGGTGTTTTTAATATACTAAAACGTATTTTAAGGAGACTGATAGAAATGGGTATATCCCGACCAATAGCTGTCACCACCCCTCTTGGATCAATGGAATACCGAAAGGACAATTTATTAGAATCTTAGAATCTATTAGATCAGGTATGAATACACTCACCAACAAATCTCAGGCTTTGTAGAAAAAAATTTTTAAACCGTTAGTCATGAATAGAGATGAGCGAATTATTCAAAAATTCGGTTCGGCTGATTCGCCGAATTCGCCGGAAAAATTTGATTCGATCCGAATATATTCGCCGCGAATTTAACTTATAAAAAGGGTGTTTCTAGGCTTCAGAGAGCCTTTATATTAGTGCAGAACACTGTACCTTTAATTTAAATGCCCTTGGAGTCTGCTGGGGAAGAGAAATAATACTGTCAGTCAGTATGACATGCAGATGAGTGCCGTCGATCTTAGAATCACCGCACACTTCACTCATTTGGGCAGTCACGGGGCCAAAACCAGAGTGTGGAGCCACAGTGTGGCGGTGGAGGCAGCAGCAATGGGAGGCCATACAGCACCCTATGACAAAATGGAACCCACCAGCAGTGTGAGGAGACCTGAAAGTGGCACATGGCAGAGTGTGGCGATGGAGACAGCAGCAATGGGAGGCCGTACAGGGACCCATGACACACTCTGGACCTGGCAGCAGCATGAGGAGGCGGTACAGGGGCCCATGACAGATTACGGGCCTGGCAGCAGCATGAGGAGTCGGTACGGGGGCCCATGGCAGATTACGGGCCTGGCAGCAGCATGAGGAGGCGGTACAGGGGCCCATGGCAGAGTGGCGGAGCGTAAGCAGCTAAAATTGAAGGCCATACAGAGGCCTATGTTAAAAAGTCCCCCCAGCAGCAGCGTGGGGAGACGACTATTAGTCTTCTCCCCACGCTGCTGCTGGGGGGACTTTTTAACATAGGCCTCTGTATGGCCTTCAATTTAAGCTGCTTACGCTCCGCCACTCTGCCATGGGCCCCTGTACCGCCCTCCTCATGCTGCTGCCAGGCCCGTAATCTGCCATGGGCCCCCGTACCGACTCCTCATGCTGCTGCCAGGCCCGTAATCTGTCATGGGCCCCTGTACCGCCTCCTCATGCTGCTGCCAGGTCCAGAGTGTGTCATGGGTCCCTGTACGGCCTCCCATTGCTGCTGTCTCCATCGCCACACTCTGCCATGTGCCACTTTCAGGTGTCCTTACACTGTTGGTGGGTTCCATTTTGTGAAAGGGTGCTGTATGGCCTTCCATTGCTGCTGCCTCCACCGCCACCCTGCGCTATGTGCCTCTGTCGTCTGCTCACGCTGCTGGGTTCCAGTTTTAAACCTAGGCCTGTGTATGGCTTCCGAATACTGCTGCCTCCACCGCCACCCTGCGCCATGTGCCTCTGTCGTCTGCTCACGCTGCTGACGGCTTCCGCTTTTTAACCTAGGCCTGTGTATGGCTTCCGAATACTGCTGCCTCCACCGCCACCCTGCGCCATGTGCCTCTGTCGTCTGCTCACTGCTCACGCTGCTGACGGCTTCGCTATTTTCCGCTTTTTAAACTAGCCATGTCCTGTCGTATGTCTTCCGAACTAGTCCTGTGTATGTCTTCCGACTACAGCTGCCTCCACCGCCACCCTCGCCATGTGCCACTTTCAGGGGTTACTCGCTGCCTCCACCGCCACCCTGCGCCATGTGCCACTTTCAGGTCTCCTTACACTGTTGGTGGGTTCCATTTTGTGATAGGGTGCTGTATGGCCTTCCATTGCTGCTGCCTCCACCGCCACCCTGCGCCATGTGCCTCTGTCGTCTGCTCACGCTGCTGACGGCTTCCGCTTTTTAACCGAGGCCTGTGTTTGGCTTCCGAATACTGCTGCATCCACCGCCACCCTGCGCCATGTGTCTCTGTCGTCTGCTGACGGCTTCCGCTTTTTAACCTAGGCCTGTGTATGGCTTCCGAATACTGCTGCCTCCACCGCCACCCCTGCGCCATGTGCCTCTGTCGTCTGCTCACGCTGCTGACGGCTTCCGCTTTTTAAACTAGTCCTGTGTATGTCTTCCGAATACTGCTGCCTCCACCGCCACCCTGCGCCATGTGCCACTTTCAGGTCTCCTTACACTGTTGGTGGGTTCCATTTTGTGATAGGGTGCTGTATGGCCTTCCATTGCTGCTGCCTCCACCGCCACCCTGCGCCATGTGCCACTTTCAGGTCTCCTCACACTGCTGGTGGGTTCCATTTTGTCATAGGGTGCTGTATGGCCTCCCATTGCTGCTGCCTCCACCGCCACACTGTGGCTCCACACTCTGGTTTTGGCCCCGTGACTGCCCAAATGAGTGAAGTGTGCGGTGATTCTAAGATCGACGGCACTCATCTGCATGTCATACTGACTGACAGTATTATTTCTCTTCCCCAGCAGACTCCAAGGGCATTTAAATTAAAGGTACAGTGTTCTGCACTAATATAAAGGCTCTCTGAAGCCTAGAAACACCCTTTTTATAAGTTAAATTCGCGGCGAATATATTCGGATCGAATCGAATTTTTCCGGCGAATTCGGCGAATCAGCCGAACCGAATTTTTGAATAATTCGCTCATCTCTAATCTTATACGCCGGCAAATACGGTACATTTATTATTTATTTACATGAAGATGTGAATCATTCTAGATTATTTGAGCACTGGTTCATTTTGAGCATTATTTTGTTAATAAGCATAATGGCTACACATATAACCAAGAATAACTGCTTCTTTATGAAGATATTTTTTGACCACTAATATTCATGCAAATGTACAGTTTAGTGAATGATGGGCATTTTACACTTGTACATCCATACAGGGATTTCCAGTAAAGCCCCATACACACAATGAAAATCGGATGAACGATCATTTGTGGAGGGTTTTTTTTTTTGCATGCTAGTCTTCATATTGAATATGAAGAGATTACTAAAGTTACAAAAATTCTGGAATGACAGAATAAACATTTGGAAGTGATGTAATGTATTGTATTTTCAGACTAAACTGTACTGATTAAATGATCTGGTATCGTATGAGAAAAATGTTCGTGCTTGTCCCTTTGAATATTTTTGGATAAAAGCTGTGATCAGATTATCGTATGATCGCTTCAAAAGCTGTATTTTTTTTGTACGATTTTATGATCATGTGTACTAGGCTTTACCAAAGCTGTTACATTTTCCCTGCTTATTTTATGGTAAGTTAGTACAGCTCTGAGAATAGCAAGAAAAAATTTATCTCATATGGCTAGCTTTAGTGATTAAAGGCCAAGTGGTTTGTAGACTTGCATTACAAGCATGTAAGTCTGTATATTTTGGAAATGGTTTCTGTTTTTCTAGACTGAGTAACTGTAAATAACCTGCATACTTTCCAAAGTACATTTTCTCAGGCTTTTGTGCTCTGACTAAACCTATTGCTTTAGAAAGGATCAGAATTTCAGTACCTGACACAGTCAGCTGGGTGGGACTGGAGATCTGCCTCATTATAGTCAGTACACCTTTGCACTCCACCCAGCCCTCCTAGCTGCTAATTAATGTTAATTGGTTTTGTCCAATGGAGAGACATGTCAATCTGCATCTAACAAATTATGCCTCAAGAATAGTATAGTTTCCCATCTTGCGTGGGATCCTATGGCTGTACAATAAACTGACTACAGCTTGGATATCATATTCATGTTTTTTTCCAGCTCATATGTATGTGCCAATAGCCAGGGAGTATATTATTAAGATTGTAGAGGTCATTCCTCTAATGTAATTTTGTTTTCCTTTTGTAAAGTTCTGAGAATTTGGAATTTCAGTACACTGTATGTTTTTGTTTCAGTAAAATTCCCAGGAAGATCCTGGTGCTGCAGGCCTGCTTATACCCTTAAGGTGGTGCACGTGTCAATATTAAATATTAAATTAGAGCTGAGAATTATACACAGTGTACACCTAAGCACTTATATAAGCGTCTTATTTTAGGCGAGTCCCAGCGTCCTTTCCCACACACCCCTGTCATTACCAGTTGTGTTTGGAACAATACTAGCCCAGCTGGTTCCATTACACATTCTCTATTAACCCCTCAATCTCTATTGTGACTGGAAACGTAGATGCAGAATCCAGGAAAAAAATCACTGATGTCAAAACATCATTTGAAAAGCAGCCAGAAGATGTTTTGGTGTAGTGTTAAGAATAGACAGGTGTATCTTACTTCTGGGAATAAAATCGAAGCAGAATCAATAAGGAACAATGAGAAGTTGACAATTAGAAGATGCAATATGGGCAATGCAAGATTCTGAACGACTCAGCAGCTTTTATTCTCCTCAGATACAGACATGTTCATGCCTGCATACTGAGAGGATTCACAGAGTCTGAGAACAACCCAGCCCCCTACTGTATCACTGCACCTCACCCTCCCATACTTGGGAACTCACCTCAATGTAATTAGTGTACTCATAACTCCAGCCAAAATACCAAATTCTGTAGTCAATGTTCATTGTGAACAGTTATTTACCTGGTTCTGCCTTTGCTTTTGAATGCAAAAAGGCAGAAAAAACCCTAGTTTGGGCCTAGAACAACTTCAAAACCCTATCAGCAATGTATAATTCCTATATGTATTGTAAACAGTACGTTTTTGCACACAGTCTACTTCAATCCAATGGAAGACTCACAAAGGCGGTTTAACAGGTGTAGTAATTAAATATCAAACTTTAATATACAGATTTTGGGGATTAAAATAAAATGCAAAGAAAACTGAATTTGTTATGATAGGGGAGGCAAGGGATAGCCACTTAAAAAAATGTTGTTTGCCTTCTTTTCATCAATGTCTGGTTTTCACTGGAAACTACATCAGGATCAAGATCATGGATCTGGGCTTTTCCACTCCAGTGATTACTGGCTTGCATGTATACAGGAGAGAAATACAGATATGTCAGAAGAGGCTATTAATCACATAGTTACATAGTGTATATAGTTGGTAAGGTTGAATAATAGTCCATCCAGTTCAAACTGTGTAGGTGTGCTCATGTCAAAAACTCATATCCTATATCCCTGTATATTGTGTTCACTAAGATGCCCATCTAAGAGGTTTTTTTTTTTTAAACTATTAATACTTGCCACTGACACCACCGATTGTGGAATTTAGTTCCACATCCTTACCGCCCTGACAGTGAAAAAACCCCTACACCGATTGAGGCTAAACCGCTTCTCCTCCAATTTCATAAAGTGGCCCAATGTCGTCTTTTGCTCCCTGAGACAGAATAGTTTATTCCTTATGAGAAGAATCACCATTGAGGTATTTGTACGTCACTATCTTACCTTCTCTCAAGCGTCTCTTCTCCAGGGAGAATGTGTGTAGCCTTTCCTCGTAACTGAGGTCCCCCAGGCACCTATTAACTTTGTTTCCCTTCTCTGTACCCTCTGCACATCTCCTCTCTTCTGTACTCTCTAGAACATCCTTTCTGAGAACTGGTGACCAGAAGTGGATGCCATACTCCAGATGTGGTTGAACCAGAGCGTTGTAAAGTGGCAGGATTATCGTTTTATCCCTGGAGTAAATACCCTTTTTTATGCATGCTAATATTCTGTCAGCTTTGCTTACTGCAGCTTGGCATTGCATGTCATTACTGAGTCTGTCATCCTCTATGACCCCCCATCTGTTTCCATTCTGGATTCTTCCAGAGGTTCTCCCCCAGCCTGTAACTTGCATTCATTTTTTTGCCCCCATGGGCATTATTTTACATTTTTCAACATTAAACCTCATTTGCCATGTATTTGCCCACTCCTTAATTTTCTTGAGGTCTTCTTTTAAGGTTTCTATATCTTGCTGTGACATTATTGTCCTACTTAGCTTTGTAACATCAGCAAACACTGAGATTGAGCTATTTTATACCAACCTCTATATCATTTATGAAAAATTAAAAAAAAATTGGTCCCAGGACGGAGCCCTGGGGTACCCAACTTACCACTCCAGACCAGTCTGAATAAATGTATTAATTGCCACCCTTTAAACACGACCCTGTAACCAGTTTTCTATCCATTTACAAACCCTCTGGTACATGCCTACAGACCATAGTTTGCAAATTAAGTGGTTATGGGTAACGGTATCTAATGCTTTATTAAAATCCAGGTACACCACATCCACTTCATCTAGATGACCACTCACTTCCTCATAAAATGTTAACAGGTTCGTTTGGCAAGAACAACCTTTTGTAAAGCCATAGTGATTACTACTAATGATGCTGATTTCATCAGCAAAATCTGCATATAGTCCCTTATTATTATCCCCTCAAATAGTTTACATACTATTGATGTTAGATTGACTGGCCTGTCATTTCCAGGAATGTATCCCTGTCCTTTTTTAAATATTGGTACCAAGTTGGCCCTTCGCCAATCAGATGGTACTATTCTTCATAGTATGCTGTTCATAAAAATTAGGATTAATGACCTGGCAATAATCTGAGTTCTTTGAGGACTCTCTGGTCCTGGTGATTTATTTGCGTTAAGCTTAAGTCTTTTTCGGACACCATCTTCTGTAAGCCATGAGGGTGCATTCTGTGATGCGTCACTAATGATGCAAACTAGACTACTATACCCCTCCTTTTCCTTAGTAAAAACTGAGGAGAAGAATGCATTTAGTACAGTTGCCATTTCCTAGTAATTTGTAACCAACTTTTCTTTGTCATCCTTTATGGGGTCAATATGTTCTGGTCTTGCTTATTTACTATTAATATATTTAAATAATTTTTGGGGATTCATTTTAGTTCCCTCTGCTATGTGTTTCTTGTGGTCTATCTTAGCCATCCTAATTGCGCTCTTACATTTTTATTGCTTTCCTTGTAGTGTGGGAATGCTGTCAATGACCCCTCTACCTTATATTTTTTAAATGCCATTTTTTTTTCTCTTTAATATTTAGTCAGGTGGGTGTTGAAGAAAAACAATGTTAGGACAGGGTGTGAGAGAAAGATGATGTTAGAGTAGGCATAGTTTAGGCATATCACAGGCAAAAGTAGGCATGTAGCAGTCAGACAAATTCAGAATTTAAATAGGCTATCTAGGAACAAAAAGATAAACACAGGAACCAAAGCCAAAGGCATAATTCATAATTGGTGTTTCAGGTAGAAAGACATAGAAAAAAGTAGATTTGAGGTTAGATACATAGATCGCTTACAATATGCAGCAACCATTAGAAACCTTTGTGTATGCTCTAGCACAAAACTCTGGGATGCTTTTTCATTAAATTTACAGCATGCATTTCTCCATACATTTCAGCAGATGGCCCTGATGCACACTTATACTATATTGCCAAAAGTATTGGAATGCCTGCCTTTACATGAACTTTAATGGCATCCTAGTATAACTGTGGGGTGCAATATTGAGCTGGCCCACCGTTTGCAGCTATAACAGCTAGAGTCCAGTGGCGGTGTGCTTTACACCACTGTAACCGATACGTTGCATTGCACTTGGTGATGTAAGGCTTGGATGCAGCTGCTCGGCCATGGAAACCCATTCCATGAAGTTCTCTATGCACTTTTGTGCTAATCTGAAGGCCACAAAAAGTTTGGAGGTCTTTAGCTAGTGACTCTGCAGACAGTTGGCAACTACTGCGCCCTGTCCACTTCATGTCCATGTCCATGTCCGCATGTGCTGACCCCGCTCTGTCATTTTATGTGACCTACGAGTTGCTGTTGTTCCCAGTTGCATTCACTTTGTTATAATGCCACTAACAGTTTACTGTGGAATATTTAGTAGCAAAGAAATTTAATGGGTGGACTTATTGCACAGGTGGCAACCTATCATGGTATCACGCTTGAATTCACTGAGCTCCTGAGAGCTACCCATTCTTTCACAAATGTTTGTAGAAGCAGTCTGCATGCCTAGGTGCTTAATTTTATACATCAAACAACAAAAAAGAAAATTCTGAGCTCTAACTTGCCAGCCAACCTGCAAACAAACCAAATTAGCCTGTCTAACAGTATGCGTTAAAAACAGGGGTTTAGTTACCACACATTTGCAAACACATGCGTAAGCTATAGAGCCTCGTCACGGCACCTTAGTATTATGTAGTTCCTAACTCTCCAACTTTAAGAGCCCCCATAGTAGAGGCACATGTATTTAATGGATAGACCAAGGGAAGATGGACCTGAGGGAGCCCACCCCTCCTTAAAGGTACAGTTATAGACTGGAGCAGTGGCCATTTTTTGAATTGTTAGTCGAAGGGGTGCACTGGACACCTTAGCTGCCATTGTGCTACATGCTGGGTGTCCAGTGTGCTCCTGTACCTTTTTAAGGAGGGGTGGGCTCTCTGAGGTCCATCTTCACTTGGTCTATCCATTAAATACATGTGCCTCTACTATGGGGGCTCTCTTAAAATTGGAGAGTTAGGAACTGCAGAATACTGGGGTGCCATGACGAGGCTCTATAGTTTACGCATGAGTTTGCAAATGTGTGCTAACTAAACCCCTGTTCTTAACGCATACTGTTAGGTTAATTTTGTTTGTTTGCTGGCTGGTTGGCTGGCAAGTTAGAGCTTGGAATTTTTTGTTGTTGTTTGCCATGTGTTGCCCTTCCATGTGCTCCTTGCTGTGAAGGCCAGTTAAAGACTGGGGCAGTGGCTTGATTTTATACACCTGTGGCCATGATTGGAACACCTGAAACCAATAATTTGGAGGAGTGCCCCAATACTTTTGGCAATATAGTGTATGTAGAGCTAGCCTGGAAGCAGAGAAGACATTAGACTAGAAGTGTCCAGTAAGAACAGAGAAAAAAATGGCATCTCGGGCAGTGCAGTATGTTTTTTTTTTTTAAGCTGATCGCCAGGTTTTGTGGTAATATTTTGAAAAGCTATGATGCTAGACCTGTTTTTTTTCTTGTCAACCTATGTTTTAAGCTGACCATACACTATACAATCTGAGTCTGCAGTCTCTTTTAGCTCTATCAAAGACTATGTAATGTAAGGACCAGTATAATAAGATACTAATGGAGTATATTGTTTAGGTTTATCCTCATATTTCTTATTTTTAATAAAAATAAAGGTTTCTGTGTAAACTTGTGAGGTGTGCATTGTGTATGGTCACCCATACACCTAGAATCTTTTGTAAGATCATCACAAAATTTGTGGCTTCTGTTTTAATGGCAAAGAAGCAAGATAGGTGCAAAAATAAAATCCATGGTTTTGCATGATCTCTGATATCCAGCAGCCTTATAACTAAAACCCTTAATAACTTATAAGGCATTTCTACAGAACATGAGTCCTGGAAAGTTTGGATCTACAATGAGAGCTGGTTTAAGCTTCTTAGCAAGTGGGATAAGAGGATGCAGAATCCTAGCGGGAGAGTTAGGATGTAAATATTTGCCAATAGGACTAGGGTGCCGAATCTCAGCATGGCATCAAGTGTTCAGAATCACATTTGGAATAATAGGATAAAAATAACAATTAGTTGCAGGATAGTCCAAGTGATGGATTGCAACAGAATTAGTCAAGGAGTGAGATCTCAACAGGAGAATTGGATAACAGAATCAGAGCATGACAATTTTAAAAAGGTTTCTAGAAGCTTATGTCCATGGGAGACATGAAACTACGGCTCCAATTCTTAAAGTGGTAATAAAGCCAAAACCAAAAATATAATATATTGCAGCTTACCAATCATTAGATGTGCAGGCTGCATTTGTTTTCTTTTCTTTCCTCTGTTTTCACCTGGTGATCTGGCCAGTACCACGCATCTAATACATAAAGTGCTTACATTCTAGATTAAGGAGCAACAAAAATATTTTTAAACAGCAGCATTATTAATCTGGGAGTAAGGTTAGTGTGAGATGCACTAGCATATTTAGATACACTAAGAAATTGAAGCCAATCACCAGCTAATACGTTTTAAGCAATTACAGCTTTTTTTTTTCTTTTCGGATAAAGGTATAATAAATCAAACAAAAACTCAACTAACCAAAGTCTTCCCTCATTTGTCTCACACATTCCCCTCCCAGACCCTGCAGCTTACAGTTGGAGGGCTTCAGCAATATAGGCAGGGTTGTCAATCCAGAAAGCAGTGAACAAAACTAGGTGTAGCAAGCTGTAGAATTGTGTACAGTGGCGTTACTATAGGGTGGCAAGGGGGGGGGGGCAATTTCTCTCCTAGATTACTCCTTGCCCCTGTGTGTGATCCCCCCGCTAAATTAGGCACATAGATGTATGAGGAAACTGATGTATGGGGACACCAGATGTATCGGGACACCTCATGGATGGGGACGCTTAATGTATGAGAACACTGATGGGGACACTTAATGTATGAGAACAGTGATGGGGACACTGATGTATGGGGGCACCTGATGTATGGGGGCACCTGATGTATGGGGGCACTTAATGTATGAGAACACTGATGGGGACACTAATATATGGGGACACCTTATGTATGAGGACACTGATGGGGGCACCTGATGTATAGGGACACTAATGTGGACACTTGATGTATGGGGATACTGATGTATGGGACACTTATATATAGGGACACCTGATCTTTGGGAACACAGATGGGGACACCTGATATATGGGGGTACCTTATGTACCTGAAGGGTGGGGACACTCATGGGGACATCTGATCTATGTAGACACCTGATGTATGGGGACACTGTGATGGGGAGGGTTGATGTATGGGGACACCTGATGTAGAGGGACACCTGATGGATGGGGATATTGTGATGGGGACACTGTGATGGGGAGGGTTGATATATGGGGTGTGGCAGTGCACTATCCTTCCACGGTCTAAATCAAGGTTATAACCCAGGATTCTCAACTATACAGGTTGAGGGGCTCCAGGCAGTTCTCTTAATGCAGAGAAAACTGGTTTGTCAGTTTCATCGTTGGTTCATAAAGCCAGTTTTGGGAAGTGGGGCCTGGAGATTTCGAAGTGATTTGGGAGGGATGACATCTCTAATCCTGGGTCCGTGTTTTCAGAACCCCCAGCACACTAATTGCACAGGTGTGTGCAGACCTTTTTGTACAGGCCAAACCTTGGTTCTAGGTTCCACCCCGGCAGACAGGAGGTCATTGCCCAGTAGTCAGGAGGGCTACATCTAGGAGAGGTGGGAGTCAGAGCAGCCAGGGGCTGTATACCTGCGAGAGCCAGAAGGCTGAATATTTGTTTCATTTGGATTGATGGTGGATACCCCTGCGTGGGAAACATATTGTGTGGAACTTTTCTTTAAATAAAATTGGGCTAACATGGCTCTTAAAAAGAAGGAAGCCAGTGGCTATGTGTTTTAAAAGACTCTACCCTTGATGCTAGTTCTCACAGGGGACACTGATCTTTGGGGACACTTGATGTATGGGGACATTGATTGAGACACCTGATGGATGGGGAGAATGGTGGGTACAGCTGAGGTATGGGGATTTCTGATTTATGGGGACATTATGATGGGAACATCTGATGGATGGGGACATCTGATGTATAGGGGACACTGTGATGGAGACACCTGGTGTATAAGGGAAAATGATGGATGGGGACACAGGATTTAAGGGGAGATTGGAAGGGGGATATGTGGGGACAGTCAATGTATAGAGGACACTGTGAAGGGACACCTAATGTATAGGGACACTGATGGAGACACCTATTGTATGGGGACCCCTGAATGTATGGGGACATGGATGGGGACACCTGATGTATGGGGACTCTGTTATAGGGCACACCTAATGTATGGAGACACTGTGATGAGGAACCCTGATGTATGAAGACACTGATGGGCACACTGATGTGTGGATACACTGGTGTATGGGGGTACTGATGTATGGGGACACTAATGGATGGGGACACCTGACATATGGGAACACTTATGTATGGGACATTGATATATGGGACACTGATTGGGACACCTGATGTATGGGGAATCTGATGTATGGGACACTGATGGGGACAATGATGTATGGGGACAATTTTGAGGACACCTGACGTATAGGGATACTAATGTATGGGGGCACTGATGGATAGGGACACTGTTGGGGACACCTGATGTATATGGACACTGATGGGGAAACCTTATGCAAGGTGACATCTGATGGATGGGGACACTGATGGAGACACCTAATGTATATGGACATTGATGGTAACACCGTATGTATGGGGACACCTGATGTATTGAGATACTGATATATGGGGACATTGATGGGAACACCTTATGTATATGGACACTGATGGGGACACCTTATGTATGGGGACACCTGATGGATGGGGACACTGATGGAGACACCTAATGTATATGGACATTGATGGGGACACCTGATGGATGTGGACACTGATGGGGGACTCCTGATAGATGGGGACAGCTTATGTATGAGGACATTGATGGGACACCTGAGGTATGGGGACACAATGGATGGGGACATCTGATTTATGGGTACATTGTGATGGGAACAATTGATATATGGGGACAGCTGATTTTTTAATAGGTAAGAAAATGTGCATTTATTATACTTTGTTGCAGATCACTGATGCCATGCAGGTCTCCTGCAGACCTGTCAGTGTATCTGTGTGCCCGTACACCCCATACAGGCAAGCGCATACACTGACAGGAAGAATAAATGAACTACCACAGCGCTTCACAGCAACATGGTAGTTCATTGAGAACAACAAGCCGACAGCCACTAACGCTGTTGAGACGTGTGGTTCATTCATTTACAGAACTCTATGCATGAATGATGTGGCTGTGTGGGCGGAGCCCCGCATAGCCATGATGTTTTTAAAAAGTGACAGCTTGAATGGGGAACTTCTCCCCATACTGCTATCACAAGGAAATCGGAGATCAGGCAACGGCTACACCATTGGGAACAAGTTACATGTTCCATCCTAAAATCAGGTGTATCATGTTCCTAAAGGTGAACTTGT